TTATTATTATTATTATTATTATTATTATTATTATTATTATTATTATTATTATTATTATAAATTCTAAATAATAAAATTCAAATTTTCCCGCGCTAAAAAAATTAGCGCGCTTTTTAAAAATAATAAAATTTTTTCAAAAATTTTCTGTATTTTTAATCTTTATATTAATTCATAGCTTTTTTTCTAATTAAAATTAAGGAACCGGACTAAATTTATTTAAAAGAACAAACTTAAAGCTACAACTTTTGTAAAAAAATTTTTTTTTCAAGTCCAATAATTAATTTAATAAAAAATATCAAAGTTCAAAATTCATTTTTGAAAATTCTAAACTTTTTAAATAATATAAAATTAAGAAAAATTATTTAAAAAAAAAAAGGAGGAATAAAATATAGCAGAAATAAATAATTTTAATTTGTTTACTCAGTATTGAACATTCAGTAGTACAACCAAATTCCATATATACAATAGTGTGTAATTATATTTGCAATAAAATAGCTTGCGTAATTTTAACGTTGAAAGATCTGTAAATATCAAATGAATTAATTATCGCAAAAAAAAAAAAAACTGGAATAATTATAGAAATAAAGAATAATTACTTTTTTAAATTTATACCAAAAGCCCGGAGCATCCTTTAAAAATAAATTTAATTAATTAATAATTACCTAATAATAAAATAAAAATTATTTACAGATTCATCCTTACCCGCCGTCTGCGTTCAGCATAAGCTTGCATTGACAGCAATGCAATTACAAAGACGATGAAAAGGATTGCTTTCTGCATTTTAAAATCTGCAAAAACGGAGGTAAGTAATTTTTAGTTTAATATTTAAACAAAAGTAATAAATTTTACGGTACTTACTTTCGGAGATAATCTGCAAGGGAATTTATACGGAAGATTCAGGTGAATTTTACAGGAAAGTCACTGTTTGTAAACTTCGAGATAAACAAGTGTATTATTATAAAAATATTTATTTTGACGTAAGTCGGCTATTTGCGGAGCTCAAAGTCTGTTTTTTTTTGTTTTTGTTTGCTCGAATGTCAAAACTTCTTGCAACGCCTTTGTTAAAATTAATCCGGATTATTAATTTTTTAATTATTTACCTTGAATTACTCATACGGAAATTCACAGCCAAGCTAGAAATTTTTTATTTAGAATTATTTAAAAATTTAATAGAAATTTTCGATGAAATTTTTAAAATTTTGGAATTTTTTATGGGGGCGCTGAAAAGTTTGAGATAAAATTTTGGAATTTTAAAAATTAATAGTGGGTTTTAAAGCTGAAGAAATGAGGATTTTAAAAATACCCGCGAAGACATTAATTTGATTATATTAATAATAGTAATCAACCAGAGAAATAATAGTAATTTTTTTTTAGTCATAATTATAGTTTTTAAGCTAGACAATTTTTATTAAGTAAACTATTGGTTTTTTTTTTAAAGTTTTAAGTAAAAATTATATTATAAAGTGTCTTATTAATTTTACAATTATTCCGATCTCATAATAATAATAATTTTAAATTGCATTTTATCATTATTATTATTACAAAATTTAAATTAATAAAATTCAAATTTTCCCGCGCTAAAAAAAATTAGCGCTTAGCGTGCCTTTTAATAATAATAATAATAATAATAATAATAATAATGGAATTTTTTTTTAATTTAATAACAATAATAATATTAATTAAGCAGAGAAATAAAAGTAATTTTTTTATATTATAATTATAGTTTTTTAATTATAAAAATTTTTATTGAATAAACTATTTGTTTTTTTTTTTTAAAGTCTGATAATAATAATAATAATTATTTTCAATTTAATTTTATCATTATTACAAAATTTAAATTAATAAAATTCAAATTTTCCCGCGCTGAAAAAAATTACCGCTTAGCGCGCTCTTTAATTTAAAAAATCTCCGCCGCCATCTTAAAACACTCCTTAAAATCTCCAGATGATTGAAAACCGCTCCCAACCCGGCAGACGCCATTGTAAAACCAGCATCAACGTCGTGTCTTTTGGCGGGCACATTTTTTACTGAATTTTGTTAAATTTACGTTAATAATCTTAAAACAGGAGCAATTATTTATTAAAAATGGGCGACAAGGACGGCGGTGAGTACTTATTATCAAAAATAATATCAAATATCATCACTTGTTTTAGAATAACACTCATCACTTTTTTTTCCTAACCAATTGCCTATGCGTCTTGTAAACAACCTCCATTTTAATTAAATCACTGATTATTTATTTAATTAAGTATTTTTAAAGTTTTTTTTTTTGTAATTTTATAAAAAAAAAATTTTTTTAATTCATAAGATACTTTATTTAATTTTTAATAATAAATTTTTGGCCATAAAAAAAATAAAAAACTTTAAACAATACCAACAGAATTTTATAAAAAAATCATTAATAATTTTTTTTTTTTTAATTTTAGTAAGGAAAGCATTAAATAATTTTAATATTTAAAAATTTTATAGTCAATAAATTATGGCAAAAAAAAAATTAGAAAAAAATATTGACATGTAGAAAATTTATAAAATAAAAAATGCAATTTTTAAAAAATACTTTTTTTGATAAATAAAATTAAAAAATTGTTAAGTGACTGCTAACTTTAATGTCATTAATTAAAAAATTTTATTAATAAAAAATAAAAAATTTTTCATGTTAATAAAATTAATAATTTTTTTTAGTACTAAATTTTTAGCATTACACGGAAAAAACAAGATGACACTAGATATTATCCCAGATTATACTCTGTGATATCTACGGCAAAAAAATTTTTAGATAGTAGCAAAAAAAAAAATCCGGATTTTACTGTGTGATATCTGGATTATACTGTGTGATATCTGGATTATACTGAGTGATATCTGGATTACACTCATAGTAATCTGGATTATATTAGCTGCTATCTGAATTTTTTTTTTTTTTTTCGCTCAGTATAATCTGGGATGATATCCAGTGTCATCTTGTTTTTTCCGTGTATAATAATAAATAATTTATTTTATGATATAAAATATTTCATCAAAAATTTATATTAATTTTTTATCAAAAAAAAAAAATTTTTTTTTTTCTAAATAAAAATTTCAAAAATAAACTAATAGTTACAGTAACTTTTTCAGAAACTTTTGATGACGCGGTAGAAGAGCGCGTAATAAATGAAGAGTACAAGATCTGGAAAAAGAACACTCCATTTTTGTACGACCTTGTGATGACCCACGCTCTAGAATGGCCATCGCTGACAGCCCAGTGGCTGCCAGACGTAACCCGTCCAGACAGTAAAGACTACTCGATCCACCGACTGATCCTGGGGACCCACACCTCCGACGAGCAGAACCACCTCCTGATAGCCAGCGTCCAGCTCCCGAACGAGGACGCCCAGTTCGACGCCTCCCACTACGACAATGAGAAGGGAGAGTTTGGAGGCTTCGGCTCCGTCAGCGGAAAGATTGAGATCGAGATTAAGATCAACCACGAGGGTGAGGTCAACCGGGCCCGGTACATGCCCCAGAACCCCTGTGTCATCGCTACCAAGACACCCTCCAGCGATGTCCTCGTTTTTGACTACACCAAACATCCCAGCAAGCCTGACCCCAATGGCGAGTGCCATCCTGATTTGAGGTAACTTTTTTTCTTATCAAAATTTTCTAACCGGACAAAGTTTTTTTTTAAAGAAGACATTTTAATCTACAACTTTTATAAAATACATTATTTTTAAACCCAATTGGTTTTTTTATAAAAATTGAAAAAGTTTAAAAACAAAAAAATTTTGAAAAATTTTTTTGACCTTCAATTGAGGATTAAAAATAGTTAACTTGACATTTTTATGTCTTCGCCGGCATTTTTAGAATCCTTAGAGTCTTAGCTTTAAAAACCACTTTAAATTTTTTGAAAAAAAAATTTTTTTCAAAAAGTTTTCAGCGCCCCCAATCTAAAAAACCAATTTTTACGTAAAATTCCCGTATTTTCAAACTTGAAAAATTCATAACTTTTTTCCTAATTAAAATTTTTGAACCGGACAAATTTTCTGTTAAAGAGGACACTTAAATCTACAACTTTCATATAAATTTTTTTTTTAACGTCAATAATTCCCAAGATATTAATTAAGTTTTAAAATTTAAGACTACGCGGGCACCAAAAAGAAGGCTACGGGTTATCCTGGAACCCGAACTTGAACGGTTATCTTCTGAGTGCCTCCGACGACCACACGATCTGCTTGTGGGACATAAACGCGACCCCGAAGGAGAACCGAGTGATCGACGCAAAGACAATTTTCACGGGGCACACCGCGGTAGTAGAAGACGTCGCCTGGCACCTTTTGCACGAGTCTTTGTTCGGGTCGGTCGCGGACGACCAGAAGTTGATGATCTGGGACACCAGGTGCAACAACACCAGCAAGCCCAGCCACACTGTGGACGCTCACACCGCGGAGGTCAACTGTCTCAGCTTCAACCCCTACTCCGAGTTCATTCTGGCTACCGGAAGCGCTGACAAAACTGTCGCCCTCTGGGATCTCAGGAATTTGAAGCTCAAGCTTCACTCCTTCGAGTCGCACAAGGACGAGATTTTCCAGGTTCAATGGTCCCCGCATAATGAGACTATTCTTGCTAGCAGTGGCACCGACAGGCGTCTACATGTTTGGGATCTTAGCAAAATTGGCGAGGAACAGTCCAGTGAAGATGCTGAGGACGGTCCTCCGGAGCTATTGGTGAGTTTTTATTCTTTATTAATTATTTATATTCCTTATTAATTATTTTTATTCCTTATTAATTATTTTTATTAATTCCTAAACTTACCTGAAATTCTTAAAAAAAAGTAACAATTAGAGAAAATTTGGTGATTATTTATTTTAAAAAAAATTGGTAATTATTTTTATATCTTCGCCGGCATTTTTAGAATCCTCAGAGTCTCTACTTTGAGATACACTATTCATTTTTTGTAATTAAACATTTTTTAAAAAAGTTTTCAACGCCCCCAACTCAAAAAACCGGGTTTTTAAAAAATTCACTAAATTTCCAGCCTTTAAAACCTCATAACTTTTTTTTCTAATTGGAATTTTTAAACCGGTCAAATTTTATCTTAAAAAGAGGGGACTATATACTACAATTTTGTCCAAAAAGTTTTTTTCTAGAAACAATTTTTCCCTTAAATAAAAATTGTGAAAGTTATAAAAAAAATTTTTTTGAAAAGTTTGAAAACTTTGAGTAGAGGTTAAAATTATTTAAAAAATTATTTTTATGTCTTCGTCGAAATTTTTATAATCCTCAGAGTCCCTAATTTCAGATACACTATTAATTTTTTTAAATTTGACCTTTTTTTTGAAAGGTTTTCAGCGCCCCCAACTTAAAAAACCCGTTTTTTGAGGAATTTTTTATCTTAAAAAATTCATAACCTTTTTTTTAATCCAAATTTTAGAAGCGGACAAATTTTATATTAAAGAAGAGACTCTTAGCTACAACATTTATCCAAAAATTTTTTTTTAAACCCAATAATTAATTTAATAAAAATTATCAGTTAATTTTTCCATGTTCACAAAAATTTCCCAAATTATTTTTCTTAAAATTCCCATGAAAAAATTGATCCTAAAAAAATTCCATGAAAAATCCGCATCCGTCCAAAATAAACTAGAATTAATTAAAACCAGTTTAATCAATTTTTTTGTATTAAATTAACAAATCAATTACTTCTAGTTCATTCACGGTGGACACACTGCTAAAATAAGCGATTTCTCATGGAACCCCAACGAACCTTGGGTAATCTGTTCAGTGTCCGAGGACAATATCATGCAGGTCTGGCAAATGGCCGAAAACATTTACAACGACGAGGAACCGGACACACCCGCCAGCGAGTTAGAAACCGGGGCATCTTAATTATTTTATCCTAATTAATTATTATTACTTTTCCACTCAAGTCCCGACTAGTATCTTCTTAAATATTGACTGGGATTTTTCTGTATTTTTTTTTACATAGGTTAAGATACTCTAATTATTATTATTAATATTATTAAATCAATTATCACCGCGTATTTCATTGGTTAAAATAAAAACAGTGATTAAACAATTTTTAGGATTTTTTAAACTTAAATTAAAAATAGATAACTAATTATTTTTATGTCTTCGCCGGCATTTTTAGAATCCTCAGAGTCTCAGCTTTAAGACCCACTATAAATTTTTTAAAAAATAAATTTTTTTTACAAAGTTTTCAGCGCCCCCAACTCAAAAACCCTTTTTTACAAAAATTTCCCTGTTTTAGGTACTTAAAAAATTAATAACTTTTTTTGTAATTAAAATTTTGACCTCGGCTTAATTTTATCTTACAGAGGACACTTCTAGCTACAATTTTTGTATAAAAATTTTTTTCCATGCCCAATATTTAATTTAATAAAAATTGTCAAAGTAAAAAAATCAAAAATTAGGAAAAAAAATTTTTTAAACTTTGACTTAGGATTAAAAATAGTAAAATAATTATTTTTATGTCTTCGCCGGGATTTTTAGAATCCTTATAGTCTGAACTTAAAGATTCACTGTAATTTTTTTTAATTCCGACTTTTTTTCATAGAGTTTTCAGTGCCCCAATTAAAAAACAAAGAAATCTGATAAAATTCTTTTAATATTATCTCATTTTTTTTTTTTTTTTTTTTTATTGTAAATTAGGTCCGCAAATAGGCTAATAGTACATGTATAATTATTTAAATAATCAATTAATTAGTTAATTAATTAGGAACCGGAATTGGTGATTGTCTTTTCCTCCATTGGCCAAAAATTGGATAAATTAAATAGAGATTAATAAATCAATCTCGTCGATGCTAGTAATTCTGAAAAAAATCACAAAAAATTATTATTAGTTTCTTATTAAAAATTTTCTTCAAATAAATTAAAATAATTAATTACCCCTCAATCAATTTCACGTGCATAACTTTTTCTACCATGCAAAAAAAATATTCAATTAAATAAATTAACACATTAAATTTTTTTATTCGTACCTTCTACTGTTGTGCCGCTTGATATCGTCGAGCAACCTTACGACAGACGGATTCAAAATTGGACGAAATGTCTAAAAAAAAAATTGGTTTAATAAAAAAATTAATTTAGTAAAAAACAAATTAATTCAATAGAAAAAAAACCAATTGATTAAATAAAAAATTAATTTATTAAAAAGAAATTAATTTAATGACAAAAAATTAATTAAATAAAAAAATCAATTAAATAAAGAAATTAATTAAATAAAGACATTAATTTAATAAAAAAATTAATTTAAAAATATTTTAAATAAAATAAATTTTTTTTTGTTTGAAAAAAAATTTTTTAAATTAATTATTAATTATTTTTTAAAATTAATTACATTCACTGGAGCGTGTCGCAATTCACGTAGGTCAATATTTCGGAACAATTCATGGAGTAAAATCTCCTCTAATTTGGGATATCGATTTTCTGGACTATTAAAAATAAATTCCATTAGCTCATAAACCTGAAAATTATTATTGTTATTTAATTTATATAAATTTTATTTTATAGAATTAATAATAATAATTTTAATTTTGATATTATTATTATTATTATTATTATTTTATAATCTAGGGTTGTAAGTAGTCAAATAACTAGTAAATTTCCCGCGTAATTTAAATTCATAGTTAGTTTTTTCAGAAAAAAAATTTTTAGAGCCTTAAAAATCCAAAAATTACCAATGGATATTTAGCTACGTCATCATAGTGAACTCTGGACGGTTTGAATGAACACAATTCGTACCCTGCTGTCATTTCGAACAGTAAATGTCCTAAAAAAATAGAAAATTATTATTACATATTTAAAAAAACATTAATAGATAATTAAAAATTGTTACCGAAGCAAATGCTTTCTATGGAAGCCCCGTAGGGAGTTCGAGGCCCGACTAGCGGGTGGATCCGACTGGTGAATCCTAGAAGCGAGTTTTCCAACCCGGCGACTCGCGCCATACCGCTCTGGATCACGACATTCCCGGAATGGAGATGGACTGTGGGAAATCCGCGATCTTTCAGGAACAAAAGCGCCTCGAGAATCTGACGGCCGAGCACTTGGATCTGTGGGAAAGGCAGGCCGGGGCCTCTAGAAACGTATTTGTTCGACCAGTCGTTGTTCCAGCTGTTCCGGTCCACCTGGAATTTATTTTTAAATGTCAATATTTGAAAAAATTCAGTATCAAAAAAATTTCTTAAAAACTTAACTGTCAATTAAAAATAGAAAAAAAATTATTTTTATGTCTTCGCCGGCATTTTTATAATCTTTAAAGTCTTAGCTTTAAGACCTACTACAAATTTTTTATTAAAAAAATTTTTTTCGAAAAGTTTTCAGCGCCCCCAACTCAAAAAATCTAATTTTTTTAAAGATTTTTCCAAGTTTTTGACCTTTGAAGCTCTATAACTTTTTTTCTAATTAAAATTTTGAGACCGGACCAAATTTATCTTAAAGAGGAGACTTAAAGCTACAATTTTTGGCTCAATTTTGTTTTTTAGGACCAATAGTTTATTTTTAAAAAATTGTCAAAGTTAAAATACAAAAATTTCTGAAAAAATTTCAAAAATTTTTTTGATCATTGATTAAAAATAGAAAAAAATTTTTTTTTATGTCTTCGCCGGCATTTTTATAATCTCCAGAGTCTTAGCTTTGAGATTCACTATTAATTTTTTTTATTTAAACAATTTTTAAAAAAGTTTTCAGCGCCCTCAACTAAAAAAACCCATTTTTTCAAAAAATCTCCCCTATTTTTTATTTTAAAAAAATTGATACCTTTTTTCAAAATAAAAATTAAGAATTCAGACAAATTTTACCTTAATCTAGAAACCTTTAACTACAACTTTCATGAAAAACTTTTCATTCTCGATCAATATTTCCCGAGTTATAAATATTAAAAGATAAAATCTCACCCTTGACCTCCTAAAAAAATCCATAACTAAAAACTTACCCCGTAAATTAAATCTTTAAGGCTGCCGTGGTTAATCGGCTGAAGCACAACCACATAATTATCCTCCTCGTATTCAATAAACTCAATGTCCAGAATCGGGCATACATACGGGTGCTGAATAAACAGGAACAATTTATTGAGAATTTCTTTTGTCGACGGGCAGACGCTCAGCGGGCAGTTTTTCCCCAAAGGGGTCAAAGTTAAGATTCTGTCGGTCTTCAGAAGCGTGTCCTTAACCGCGAACCAGAATTTGTCGACTCTTGACCCTTAAAATTTTCCAAGGACACTTTATTAAATTTCTGACAATATATTTGTATTCCCCGGGAAATTTCCGTCTGAAAAGACACCCCATAAAGCCTAATTGCTCAATTTTTATCTAATTCCCAGTTTTCCCGCGCTTTTTCACGGATGGGCAAAAGTTTTCCTAAGTAGGGCTTGGGGGTACTCAAACTTTCGGAAATTTCCCGTAGAATTCAAATGTATGATCCATTTTTGCACACCTATATTGTGGAGCTGTTCTATTAAGGTGAATCTTGTGGCAGCTTGTAAAAAAACTTGGCAAATATTGAGAGCTTGGTCCCTAGAACGTTTTTCTAATTCTAAATATTCAATTCCTTCCTCGCGGATTGTCGGGCTTTGGTCCAATGATTCGTAGAGATGTTTTTTATTGCTAAAAAAAAAAAATTTTTTTTTTTTAATTTTTTTTTGTTGTTAAAATTTAAAAAAAAAAATTCTGACCTCGGATTTGTGTTCCCCGGGAAATTTCCATGCGAAAAACATACCCAACTAAGAGTATATTTTAGAGAATTTTTTTCTAATTCGCGGTTTTTCGCGGTTTTCCGCGGGTGGGCAAAATATCACCAAACTAGGCCATGTGGGTATTTTTTGCAACGGAAATTTCCCGAGGAACTCAAATCCAAAGTCAGAATCCTAAAAAATCCAACCCGGAAGTCGTAATGTAAATATTGATCATTTGTAATGAAATTAATTTACAAGGTTTCATCCAATTACCTTAATTCACTCTCTCTAGCTCGGGTGATCGACACCCTGTTGAAGAGAATTTTAGCCAGACTGTCGATTTTGTTCCCAAAGTGGAACTTGTCCTCGAGATTGTTGATGCTGGAGGAACTGCTGGCGTTAGAAGTTGAGCTTTCTATGCTGGCGCTCCGGTTGTTCCTGATGTAGTTCCTCGCGGAGGTCATCGCACTCGAGTCGAGTTCAATCGCACTTAGGGTCCGGCGATTTGGGGGCCGCTTTTTTCTTTTCACTCGTGGGGGCTCACGGTAGAATCGGTCGTGCCCGGTGACATCCGAGCCACGACGTGATCCCCCAGATTCGTCCTCTTTTTTGTTCAGTTGCTGGTAGATGCTGAACATTATCACAGGCTGGTTCACTGTTTACTGACTGGTGACTTTTTTAGGGGTTGATACCTTTAAGTTGATGCGCATGTGCTGCGCGGATTGACGCGCGGTGAATTTTTGTATAATCAGCGGTAAATTTTCCGATAGATTGAAAAAAAATTTATAAATAATAATTAATTAATTCAAAAAAAATTTTTAAGACTTTGACTGAAGATTAAAAATAGACAACTAATTATTTTTATGTCTTCGCCGGCATTTTTAAAATCCTTAGAGTGTCTACTTTAAGATCCATTATAATTTTTTTGAAAAAAAAATTTTTTTATCTAAATTTTCAGCGCCTTCAACTCAAAAACCCCATTTTTTAAAGAATTTTCCAAGTATTAGCTCTTTGAAGCTCTATAACTTTTTTTGGAATCAAGATTTTTGAACCGGACAAATTGTATCTTAAAGAAGAGACAATAAGCTACAATTTTTGTCCCAAAAGTTTTTTTTAGGGCCAATAGGAACCGAGTTAAAAATTATTTAAAGTTAATTAGTTCAAAATTTCAAATTTTACAATTTTTTAAACTTTAATTAAAGATTAAAAATAGACAACTAATTATTTTTATGTCTTCGCCGGCATTTTTAGAATCCTTAGAGTCTCTACTTTAAGATACACTATAATTTTTTTGGATTTTGACTTTTTTTCAAAAAGTTTTCAGCGCCCCCAGTTCAAAAAACCCTTTTTTCGACAAATTTCCCTCTTTTTAGTTCTTTAAAAATTCATAACTTTTTTTTTAATTAAAATTAAGAGACTTGACAAATTTTTTTTTTCTTAAAATAGACACTTAAAGCTACAATTTTTGTCAATACTATTTTTTTTTAGGATCAATTCGTTATTTAATAAAAATTGTTAAAGGTAAAAATCGATAATTTTTTCAAAAAATGTCTTAAAACTTTGAGGGAGGATTAAAAATAGACAACTAATTATTTTTATGTCTTCGCCGGCATTTTTATAATCTTCAGAGTCTCTATTTTAAGATACACTATGATTTTTTTGGATTTTGACTTTTTTTCGATAAGTTTTCAGCGCCCCCAACTTAAAAAATCCTTTTTTTGCAAATTTGCCAATTTTTTTAAAGAATATTTAATTTTGACACTTTGTAAAAAAATTAAACGATGGCGCTATCTATTAGGGGTTATTCGAACCTAGTAAGAAAAAATTAATTATACCAACGAGGCACCACCGGAAGGAAGTTAGCGTAGAATAATTTTTTTTTTAATTAAATCATATGTCAATTAATTGCTCTTTAAATGCTCTATTAGAATCCGTAATTGCTCCAGGTCTATTACTATTAGTTAATTTTTAATTAATTTTTCAAAAATTTTTTTTTTGAAAATTTAATTTTGCTATAAAACCTAAAATATTCACTTTTTCAAAAATTTTTTTTCTCAAACAATTGCTCTCAATTTGCTCTACTAATTAAAAAAAAAAAATATTATAATTTTGCATTATTTATAATAATTGATATAAAAAAATTATTTGCATGCAAATCGTAGCACTATGACGTCATCAGTGGTCGTTGAATCCACTAAGAGCTGTTTCCATGAATCCTCATTACGGCAATTTAATTTTGCCTTAATGTTTACACTTTAGTTTTAAGGTTATATAGTCGTATTATTATTAATTTATTATGTACTTAAAAAATAATATTGATTATTAATTTTGAATATAATGATAATAACATGATAATTATACATAATTACTCCTGCTCAAAAATAAAAAATCGTCGGTTTCATATTAATTAAATTATTGTTATTAATACCGTTGTCAGCGATCTATTGAAGGTAGTGATATATTTGTTCACATATTAATGACATGTGGCAGTATCAAGTTGACAATAATCCATTAAATATTACAGGTATGTTATATTTAAGTATGGTATTAATATTTTTAAAATAACAACTTTTAATCTACAATTATTAGAAATTAACAATAAATTTATTTAGTATATGGGCCAGCAACACTTAGTTCATAATTACAAATTTTATTTTCAGATCGTAAAAAATTGTTACCTGCGAGATGATATTTGGCGTGGATCTAAAGTCAATAAATTTTTTTCTTGAACCTGAAGATGAAAAATAAGAGATCGAGGGCTTACTAAGTTATGGGTCATACCATTTAATATATGACATAGATATTCTTCTCGATCATGTAAGTATATTTTTTTCTCGTTGATTTCATGAAAAGCTTTCATTGAATTTTAAATTAATTTTGATTTTATTAGAATTGAATTTTCAGGAAAAATATTTACTTTTCAACGTAACAATCCTCTAAGCTGTTTTTGAAAAAATGAAGCACCGCAATCTCAATGTTTACCAAAAATTGGAATCGACACCTTCATCGAATGATTACCTGGTGAAAAAATAAATAATGGCAATGATAGAGCTATCAGGACAGCCTATCAATATTAGAAACGTTCCTTGGAGCAAGCTAAACATATAAATATCAATATTATTTTGTGTATACTAATAATAATGTTAGTTTGACTAAGGCACGGAATGATGGAAGTGTATCCTCTTCAAGTCATTTTGATTACTTATTTGAAAAAAGAATTCACAAGTAAAGAATATGTTTGATCGTTAGAATTCTCTGGAGGTGATAAATTGTGTGAAAAAATTATTAAATTGTTGACATTGAAGAAGTCGAAAATTGGATGTTATTGAATTTAACAGACATCTAAGAATTTTTTAGATTTTTACAATATTAAAATTATAATAAAAAACATTTAGCTAAAATATTCGACATGTAGAAATTTTAGAGAATTATAAGCGAATTTTTATAACATTTTTTTTATAATAATTGATTGGTTGTAAAAATTCAATGAATTATCAAATGTCTGATAATTTCAGCACCATAAAAATTGGTATGTTTTATTTTTCTATTCATTAATTTTAATATAAAATTCAAATAATTTATTGATTAATTAATTTAATTGAACAGATCTTCGTGCAAGGAAAAGCCGGATTAAATAGAACAATTGATGGAGACATTTTTGCTGTTGAGTTATTATTAGAATTAGAATGATCAGTACTAAATTAAATAATTTTGTATGCTGAAACTGATCATGAAGATCCAGATGATTTGTTATTAATTGAAGTTGAGTGCAAATGTCCATAAATAATTCTAACACATTAAAATTTAATTAAAACCAGAATGTGAAGAGCATTTTTTTATGCCAGTTGAAAGGAAGATTCCTAAAATGATGATCAAAACATGGGAATCAAAGATTTTAAGTAATCAGATAATAATTGCTGTCATTCATTTTTGGCCAAGAAACTCTATTTATTTATAAGGAAATTTTGTTCGCACGCTGGGTAATGTTGGTGATAAGGAAATTGAGAATGAAGTATTACCGAAGAAGTGAGCATTTTATTATTTACATGAATCAGTAAAAAAAAAAATTTT